TTCGGTCCGGCCGGGGCTCTAACCCTCGACCTCCCGCACAACACAATCCGGCGCTCTAACCAACTGAGCTAACCGGGAGGCGGTTACAGCGAGTCGTTTCCTTTTCTGATTATCAGTCTCGGTTTCGTTTGGAGACGATACTTCTAGCTGTTCAGTCATTTCGATTGAATGAGAAAAAATCTGGCCAGTGTTGCTTCGTCACTCAGTGAAACAATATGGGAGTGACACTTGAAGAGATAAACATAGCAAGTCATAATAGGAAGGTATCATTATTTATTATTAAACAAACGAAGGGTGTTAGATATTGATCAGTATATATTTTAGTCGTATGACATCACTTGTACTCAGATGGTATCGGTAGGTTAGTGTTAGAGTACAAAGAGATCTATCTAGTTATGGGCGAGAACGGTATTGTTTAACGTAGTAGACCAGAACTTCCCTGTTTGTGGGTTGAACCCAAAATAAAATTTTAAAGAGGTTCAACTTAGATCATCTATTCATTCCTCAAAAACAGTCATTGCCAAGGAGGTACCAGGCTTTACCAAAAGATCAGCTAAGTTTTACCAACAGCTGATCCCTTTTATTACAAACAAAAACACTTTAACTCAAGTGTCCTGCGCACAGGAAAAACTGAATTTGAACTGTCAGATATATATCATTGTTTAAATGTTTTTTTTAACAGGAGCGGATCATTTGATATCGAATTCAGGAAACTTTTATGATTCGAATTTACAAATTACAAAGAGGCGAACCCTTTGAAAATAAGTTAAGGTTGCTGACGAATCAAACCGAGAAGTAGCCATGATGACGGTCTAATGTTTTTAACAGCTGTTTCCAGTGCACCTTACTCCACATGAACCATTAGATTCATGGCTTCCTATTCGGTTTCATTCAATTTCCAAGGCTTAATTAAAAACAATTTGATGCACCTTGCCTGCATTGCTTAATATTCAAGCAATTCTGCATTTATACGAAAAAGAAGCGGTTTTTAAAAACATTTAAAGATAAAAAATTGCGATCAAACATTTCGTAAAAGCACATTAAAAATATGCTCAAGTCAAAGAGTGAAAGATAACATTTCCTTTCACTCTTTGACCGTCAAAGAGTGAAAGAAAAGGCGTGATAATGACGTTAGCCAAACGTCGAAACGTCGTCAAAAAATTTTTAATATGCTTTTACAAATTGTTTTATCGCAAATTTTTTATCGTTAAATTGTTCATTTGTTTAAACAACAGCAGGTGAGATGAGTTAGTTGGTGGGCTTTTTGTTAGCTTATGTCAGTTTTAAGTTTTGTATCGAATGTAAATTTGAAGACCTAATGTATTCCCGCGTAAACGAGTGCTCCTCAAACATAATCAATTTGTTTCGTTTTTGAGCATAACTAAAAGAAATACCATGAACATTACAGTCCGTCTTCTGACCGTGGCACTCATGACATTCAGCAGATTGGAGACAAGAACAGCAAACTGCGACGGAAATTTTGAACTGAGCAGACTTAACCATGGTCACCATGAGCGAGGAATTGAAAACCATGCCATAGTGGGGCACAGTTTCAAAAATTTCACGTTGCCAAGTATTTATGATTGTCATGTTCAGTGCTTTGACGAGAAATGCAAGTGCCAAGCATTCCAGATATCTGGGGATCGCTGTGAGCTGTTAGATGAAGATAAATTTTCAACTCCTGATGAGCTAATTCACACTCCGGGGTACGCGTATTTTGATATGAGCAGGGAGTACATTCACCAGGTAAGAGTGACAAATATTACGCACATTCAAAACAAATTTTTGTCTCATTTTTTTTTTTTTTTGCCCGACGCCTTGTCGTTGTTGTGTTAATCCTTTAATTTTAGTAACCACTGAGGTAAACGGAATAAAGAGCATTAATCAATCTGTAATCAGGTGTCAAGTTTTCAAGCTCGGTCCATAATTCAAATGTGATCCGGCGAAGTTAGATTAAAGCTCTGACATTCAAGTGGGAATAAGATCTTGCCATTTAGCAGAGGACAGTTTTTGCAGTTTTGCAGTTTTTTTGTCGAATATTGCAGTTTTTGAGGGATCTAGTCGGTAAAGTAACATCAAGCTCTTGCTACGATTTTACGCATCTTAGTGAGTAGCAGGGTGCTAAGGTAACACCTGTTCGTTTATTTCACAATATGTATACTGCAGGTAACTTCAAACAGCGCATATCCAGACTCTCACTGCAGTAACCAATGCTGTAGTCAGAATACGTGTCTTAATGGCGCCACGTGCACTGAGCTCTGCAAGGACGCCAAACACAAGTTTAACTGTTCATGTGCACCAGGATATGTCGGGAAATTTTGTCAGAAGCGAAGAACATCCTGTAAAGAGCAGCTTTTAATGGACAAGAGGTCACCATCACAAGCTTACTGGCTGTTTGATCCGACAACCAACTCTTTGGGCGAAACCTTTTGCGATTTTACCTCTGAAAATGGCTTTGTTTGGACCCTTATTGAATCGTTCAGCCTAGATAATAATCAAAATTTTTCGGATAAATCATTTTATAAAGATTTTCCAGTCAATGAGAACGATTTTAACTGGAATAAGTTCCGCTTTTCTTTGAGCAGAATGGAGTCAGTTGCCAACCGGTCCTCTCACGTGCGTGCAACATGCAACTTTAACATTGATGGTCTGAACTTCACTGATTACTTGAGAGCCAAACTGACTGATATCGATGTGATGCGGAAGAAATTCGACGATTGCAGGAATTACGAATACATTAACATTCGTGGTTACGGTTGTTACAACTGCACTGCTGTGTTTGTTCAGCAGGATATGTGGCACGCGCATGTGGACTCGTATTATGGCGTAGACTGTCAGTTGGCCGTTCCAGGAGCAATAAGGGACCCAGGAGGGGAGGATGACTTTGGTTGGTACCAAACAGTTAACCCCATTCATAGGTGCTCTTCAAATAAGAAGTCCACCACGCAGTGGTGGTTTGGAGAACAGTGAGATTATACCAGGAGCAGTAGAGGGCTTTAAATATCAATTCAGATTTGGAAATTAATGCAGGGTGCTATTCACCAATAGCAGCATTCGCCCTGACAAAGGGCTAACGCTCGAAACTTCAGTTTTTTAACTTTGCACGGTGGCCAATTTACAATTTCAACATAGTTGATAAAACCAAATTACCCTGCTATTAACAAAGCCTAGCACAGTTTTGCGTATGCGTGGTGTTTTTTACCACAGACGCTAGACAACGAGTGGCACCAGCGAGTTTTCGCACTTGTACATATGCTTCGCTTGATTAAGAAAGTTGAGAGAGATCAGATGTGTATATAGAATTTTGCTGTTACGATTACGAAAGTGTCCTGAATTTATGTCACAAGTTGCTACTATCTTAGTCCTAAATATTTTAAAATCGTTATTTACCTGGAATGTAGGAAGATTTAGTAACTTTGGTGGTGTACAGTGCTAGAATGAAATGTTTACTCTTAACAACACTTATAAAGTCATCGTTTCACGTAACCTGGGAAGATTTCAGCTCTGTACTTAACAGAGCTTAATCCTTAATCTCCTGCTAAAAATTTTCGTCTTCGACGTTAACATGATGAAAGAAAAAAATGAGTTATATTCATCATAGAGAGTATTAATTTTGTTTTTTGTGTTTTTGTGTTATGCGACTCAAACTATTCGTTTATGTTAGAGAAAAGTTGAGCTAAGATTATGAATTCGTCCTTTACAATTTCTCTGAAAATATGGGAAAAAGCCACTGTGACAATCAATGTGCTTTTTTTATTTCTGTTTTGTAATGTGCTTATCATTTCTATCTTCAAAGCTGATCATTGTAATCTCTTCAGTAAATTATGTACAAAGTTTTGCTATTGTTTTAAGTTATGATCTGAAACGGTGTCTCGTCGACACAGTTTAAATGTATTAACGGTTCGCCCATAAATTTCAATAACCCCTGGGAACAACTAACTTTTGAAACATGTTTCTTTATAAAGTATTTTTGTTCTTAATGTATCATTAGAATCCAGTCGAACACTACAACTCTACGTGCCCTATTTTCTAGCTGTAATTATCATTTCGTACACAAGATGATCAGTTCTGCAAGTATCTCAAAGCTAAGCAATTATCCATCTGTATATAGCCACGGAATGTTTTAAAAGGAGTTCGTTATGTAAGATACATCAAATCAAATTTCTTTGTTCGTTGGGTTTGCTCTATTTGTCGTAACAAACAAAAAGCAAGCAATATGATTGTACAATTTTTATAGAATGAAACGTGGTTAGTATAGAACACACAAGTGAACAGTGCTTTTCGCGCGCGCTTATTGTCTAGTTAGGAAGTGAATAGCGAGTACCATTCACCTTCACTTTGATGAATAGTTGTCATCTATTGCGTGTTGAGGCTCTGAAAAAAAAAGTTAAATGAAAAAAACTCTTGATTTGCTACTTTGAATAAAGTTGTTGCTACTTTGAATAGTTGTCATCTATTGCGTGTTGAGGCTCTGAAAAAAAAGTTAAATTAAAAAAAACTCTTGATTTGCTACTTTGAATAACATTGAGATTATTTCATTCCCTTTCAGTTTCCATGGGGCCCATTTATAAACCGAGAAAAATTTTAATTGGATGTTTTGAAATCTTCATCGCTAGTGAAACAGCTGAGGAACCAGAAAAACCAAGTGAACAAGATTTTTCCACGTTAAACATTTAATAAAAGATTCAAACTGATAGTTAAACAAATTTCAGGTCCTTTGAAGGAAAACTGAATGACATACAAATAATATCCTTCTGTAATTAGATTGTCCAGTTTAAACGCAGCTGTTGCATGTCAACTTTACCCTGCCTCAAGTCTCAAAAGAGCCAATCACAGGTGATTACGCTTGTTAACGCGTACCATTGTTTGGCGTGCTAATCCGCACTATTTTAAGTCAGAAGAACTTCACCATTCAGTTCAACCTGAAGAGTTGTACGGTGAACTTTAACAGTGACTCAAGTAACATAAAGGTAAGGATCTTTTCGTCCATCAGTTACACGGTCAGCATCATCATTTGTTCAGTTATCTCATTAAAAAAAATTTGTGTAGGTGTTAATTCTTATTTGCTTTCTCGCCTAACAGTCGTCATTGTCAATACATAGTTCATAACTATGTGTACTCTTGTCTTATGCCCACCACTACGTATATATATATATATATATCTATTTCAGATTATTAAAGTTAACAATGACTGCTGGTCTCTCAACAGTAATTGCGCTCTTTTCTTCATTTTCCTTGACTGTGTTGTCCGCGGAGTCTCTGAGGTTCTTTCATGTGTCTGATGTCCACCTTGATCCATTTTACAACAAGGCTGCAGATGTGAAAACGTATTGCCAGGGATAAGGCTCAACAGCTGATTATGAGGCACCCTTCGGTAAGATCGGCTGTCACTCACCGTTAGCTTTGTGGAAAGTCGCTCTGTTAGGAATGAAGCAGAAAGGACGGGGCGCTGAGTTTATGATGCTCTCTGGTAGGAAGGTAGCAAGTTTGTGTAAATTGTTAATCCGTTGACCATCTCTCTAAAGAAGCACTCTTTTAATAAACTGCTGTTATGTTTTTTCCCATTTCCAGCTTCTTTATGTTTATTGCATTTTGGATTGCATGAAGATTGCTTGTATTCCGTAGGAGATTCATCAGCCCATGGTCTCACAGATGATCACGGTTCACCTAAAGTCTTAAAAGCCATGTCTGTGGTTGCAAGTGAAGCCCACAAAGTGTTTCCAGACATTCCAATTTTTCCTGCAATTGGCAACAATGACTTCCCCGGACATTATGTTTTACTGAACAATACCAATTGGTACAAAACAGTTTTGTCTTACTGGGCCTCACTCATTTTGTGCTCAGATTGTCCCAGGAACGTGGAAAGACCTACAACAATAGAGGAATTGACGAAAACGTTTCTAGAGGACGGTTATTATAAAGTCAACATTGCTGGTGAGATCCAGGCTTTTCACTGAGTAAGCAAGGAACAGCAAAAGAGTAAGGGTATCCAAAGAAAGAGTAAGCTGCAGATGTGAAAACGTAGAAAGAGTAAGCCGAACAGCCCAGAAAGTCATCATGGGAAGAAAATTAAAAGAAAAAAACGAAATCCAAACCAGATATAGCTCCGAGTTCCACGCGAACACAAATATCTTGGAAAAACTAAAAAGAACAATCGGATTTAAACGCTTTCATATGAAGATGTCACTTATCTTATGTACTGTTGAATTACAGGTGGAAAAATGATATTACTTGTGCTGAATACCATGTACTGGAATAACAACAGATATACTAATGATCTTGTTGAGCAGGTCGCTGAAACACAAATGCTGTGGCTCAAAGATCAACTTCAACTTGCCAAAGACCAAAGGAAAAGAGTCCTTATCATGAGCCACATCCCGCCTGGGTAAGCTTCGTTACAGCAACTTTATTCATCACGATTTCTTTTTAAAACAAACTGAAAACATGAATTTTATTCGGATTGTTTCAGAGGCGACCCATTTGATGATTCCTTCTTCTGGTATATACGATACGTAATCTCTTATGCGAGTCTAACAGCCGGACAATTTCATGATATAGTGGCAGGTAACACTTGTATTTAGGAAAGTAATAACCGTTGAACGAGGGAAATTCTTAAAATATAATGGAGATTTGATTAACAGCAACTAAATAGGACGCCTCGAAACTAGATAGGTTTAGATTTTAAAGGGATTTGTTTGTTTACCTTTGCGTTCGTTGAGGCTTTTCGTTTTTCGAGTTTCTTTTTTTTTTTTTCTGTTATTTGTATGTTTCCTTTTTTCTTCGGAGAAAAACTTTTGAAAATGATCTTGGACATAATTTGATGCAACACATCTGGAGAACGAGGAGTTTTATTACAATGAGTCGACAATGTAGTAATAAGTGACGATGTTTGACGACTTCGTACAAATTACAGATAACTTTTTTTAATTAACAGAATGCATTTTCCAGTGGTTTATAGAAATTATCCTAAAAACAAGTTCCATTTGTCGTGATTTTTTTTCTTGTTTTCTTTTGCGTTTGTTTCAATTTGTTGTGCTGTTATCCATTTTATTGTTTATTCCTTTTTTCATCATTATCATCAGGCCAGTTTTATGGTCATACGCACAAAAACGACTTCCATCTTCAAATAATGAACACTGCAAGTGATGAAGCAGAACTATCTTCCACCAAATCCTTCGTTCTACAAGTTGCCTCAGTATCACCAATCTACTCTAACAATCCAACATTCAGAATTATGTCTTTGGACACAAGAAAACGAGCTCTTGTTGACCATGATCAGTATTACCTCGACTTGATTCTCGTTACAGGTAAAAACGTGTCATAATGGCTAGAAATAGCTTGCTCTCGGTGCAAATCGTTTGTATACACAAGGGTACCACAAAGACAAAAGCAGTTAACTTACTACCATTAGCAAATTTCTGTGGAGTTGATATCGATCCTTCACATTTCTATTTTAGTTCAATATCTGAACGGTTTGTACCACCAGGTCATATAGTTTTAGAGCAGCCTAAAACTCAGACTTTAACCCAGCAGCGTGAATTCTCCACAACTTTCTCTCACATTGTATCAGTTTCCTCAAAAATAGAGAACCGATAAAAAGCTAATTTATAAAAAGAGGATTTTATTACATTAATATTGTACTACACGAGCTCTACTTGCGATGCTGTAAGGAATTTCGTTTATACTAATCATTTTTCATTCTCTCTCACAGAATTTGCACATCCTGTGTGGAAGAGTGATTCCACATTTAGCAGAAAGTATCCATCAAAAAACAAGTTAATCGACGCAGACAGAATAAATGAACTGAAACGTAAGCTGATCAGCCAAACTGAAGGAAGATATTGGAATGAATACATGCCTTCGACAACCTCACACTACCAGCTGGGTTCATATGATCGGTTTGCACTCTATTGTGTCATGAGATATGTCTTTGAAGAAGATTTTAAGAAATGCCTTGAAAAATTCAAAGTGCCTGGTGGCTAGTTAAAAAAATCATAGCATGTATGCATTGAAAATATCATGGAGTACACCAGTAAACTGTGTGTGTAGAATGTGCTTTTATTTGCATTCCTTTAAGCACCCTACTAGGTAGTCCAATGAAAATATAAATTAATGAATTAATCCCAACTTCCTTTACATACATATAGGAATGCCATTTATTTCTTGGAAATTAAAATTCCTAAGCTGTTGAATGGCATATCATTAGTTTTGTAAATCATATTTTGATGATAAAATTTACCACAAATGTACTCTAAGGTAAGCAGTATTTTCACTTGAGACTTAAAGTTAGCCTTGCTTTGTTTAGCAGACATTCATAATTTATGAATAGCATATAATTGCTCTCTTTTGTATGTGTTCGAATTTCATGGTGTCAGACTCCTTACAGAAGTACCCTCCTCTTCGGGAGTGTAAAATTGATGGGTAAAATTAATGATAACAGAGCTTTTTACTACCCTGTAGTAAAAAGACCCTGTAGAGAACCAACTTTCTAGATTGCTGTTATGGTATGTGTCAATCACTTGACTTTCAAAAGTTGGTCTCAAATCCAATGTGACTGATACTTATGTCAGTAACCTTGTCCATCCTACATACTGTACATCAAATTTCCTCAGCCTTTGCTGTCATGTTTGCTTGTCATGACTCTTTTAAACATGCCTAACACACGATCTGTTATCAATACTGCAATCAGGGCACCCAACATCAAGCCAGTGAGAACATCACTCCAGTGATGCTTGTAGTCACTAATGCGAGACAGACCACACAGGACACCCAACTGAGCAATCAACAGCTGAAGGGAAAACTTCAGAAACCTGCTATGGGGAAAACTGACCATGACTTCCATGTATATAATTGTAAATGTTATGGCATATGCTGCAAATATGAGACAAAAGAACCAAGATAAGAAAGATAATACCACTCTTTCTTTAAGGGACTCTTCATACAAGCCTGACTGGCTTGGTTTCCAAGGCCAAACCCTAATAATCTCTTCTTGACCAAACTTCAATTGTTCAAAATTAGAAAGCGGGAGGGGTGGGTGGAGAATTTTCCACATGAGCTTCATTGTTAGGTTACAGGAATAAACTTTGCTATGCCTGTTTTTCATTACAACTCATCTGAAATTTCGAATCTGAGGAGCAGCAAAACGAAAATATACGGTTTTTAGAGAGAAATTTTCATGCAAACAAAAGTATAATAAAATTGCAATCAAACTATTTTTTGATATTGGATTGGAATGTACATGTAACTTGTGGTAGTAGGCATTTTGGTCGCTGTACAGTGTTTCAAAGGAGTACTTTTTAATTTACTACTGGTTATTCTTATAGTTAATCACATTTGACTTTTAGCTGATCAAATTTTACCGACTAAGGCAAATGAGATTATAATTTACCTGAGAATGAAGCGTGCCCTGATGGAAAAGACAAACGTCCTTCTCTAAGCAAACCTGGATCACCTGTGCAAACATCTTCCGTGATGTATGTATGACTACAGTTCAAAAATACAGAAGATGGAGCCCGGCAGATTGACAAAAAATGAGGCCTTAATCTTCCAACTGTGTATTTTCCGATATCAGTGACAAAAATAGTGACAAGCCCTCCGAAAGCAAAAGAAACTAATAGGTTGATTACGTGAATATGGTGGGGTTTAAGCTTCAGCCACTTGAAAGGAACATATTCAATGTGTTGTGATCTTTTCTGCCGTCGCTGGCTACACAGCTCCGTGACACAGATCACCAGATAAGCCAAAGCAAAGCCAACGGAATAGAGCACCGAAGATGGGACAGTACTTTCTTTGTACGGCTTGTTAATACTATCATCATCACAATAAAACCCTCGGTGATATGGAACGGCGACTAGTTTGAATAATAGACAAACTAACCCAACAGCTAACAGACAAGTGAAGTCCACTATAAGCCAAGCCAAGCGGGGCTTCTTTGGTTTAAGTGGTTCTGGATCACGCGATGAATCGTCAACTGTTACTTCCACGGAAAATCTACACCCATCTGTGAGCTGGGTTTTGCTTTCCATGTCGCTGAATGTCTTACGATAACTTCTCTTGCAGGCCTCTGCCAATAACTCAATATTGTTTATGCTTTAAACTTATGGGCCTGGTTACCAAGATCACCTAGTGACCAGGCTATTACCCGGTATTTGCCCGGCTACCAAGACCAACCGAGACCATAAAGTAGTATCGTCTCGGAAAGTAGTGCAGTTTGGTGGCAAAACGAGTACGATTTTGATAAAAATTGTGCATTCAAAATGCCTACCACCCCCAAATTTGACGAACCATGGATGGACGAACTCGATGGACATAACTGTGTGAGTAGAGCTATTAGTTTTGGAGCAAGAGGGGCGTTTGTAGGTGAGTACACAGAGTTTGTGAATGTTATTGTTGTTCCGTGCAATCATGCTTCACGCCAGAAACTCGAACGGTGGAAGAATTGATGGTGATGATGAAACTTTACTAAGGTGTCTAAAAAAAACCTTCTAGGTTAGGTTAGAAACCTGTGCTAATTAGGGGACACAACATAAATAAATCTAAATTAAGGTAAGAATATTTAAATATAAGCGTAAGTATAAATGATAGCAATATTTACAGTATGACAAATGTATCTATGAATTACAAAGATGACAGCACTTGCATCCATTACCCATTAGTGTAACTAAATCCAATGTACGTATTTTGTTTTTGAAACATTTTAAGGTAACTTCTCTCAAGTCTGGGGATAATTATTTTCTCAGAGACTGGGCCCTAAATGGCGGAGGGAGTGGGTGCCATATGTTACCTTATTGATTTAAGCTTAGCGATGTCACCACCGATCCCATCAGCTATGGTGGAGAAATAATCTACAAGTATTTCAGACACCTACCTTTGACCTTTAACTGTCGTACCGTCTAGAATTCAAGTTATATGAATCCCAGGAGGTTCTCCTTCAATCTATTAATTAGTTAATTTGGTTAGGCAGGGGACGTTAAAGAACCCACTCACGAGATTACTGTGATGTTGTCTGGCCTGTTTACTGGGAATTGGGGGGAAGGGGACATCTTCAAAGTTTCCTTCAATTGTTTGTAAACTGCTGTTGCAGTCCGGCCAAAGTCCCCCGAATAAGTGTTTCAATCTGTGTCGGGCGAGTATTTTTCCTTTTTTCAAATAAATCCATATCTATTTGAAAAAATTCAGTCAAAGTGTACAAAGCTGGAAGAACACAGAATAGTCAGTGAGACTTTGGCCCACATACGTATATCGTGAACCCATTTAAAAAAGTGTTTTAAGCATGATGAAAATTAATTTACTATAATTTTTTACTGTTTTTATTGTTACAAACATTATTATCGTTTGTTATTATTGTTGTTGTTATTGTTATTATTGTCATAATGTGAAAAGCAATGACTATTCCCATGTATTGATTTTGTTACCCATTTCCCAACAAACCTATCCCAAGAGAAGTTTAGAGCAACTCCAGGTATATGTTGTAGGTCAATTTGTTCTTTAGGTAAATTTGTTTCAAATGAGGTAAATTTGATCTCAACGTAGGTCAGTTGCTGATGTCTGTCGGTCTGTTTTTTTTTTTTTGTTTTGGCTGTGTTGAGATATCTGGAACTTGAAATTATACTAAAACAATTATTCGTCTCAGGTTCCAGACATCTCAACACGGCCAAAAAAAAAGAAACAAAACAGACACACAGACATCAGCAACTGACCTAGGTTGAGATCGAATTAACCAAGTTTGAAACAAATTGACCTACAACATATACATTCTGCCAAGCAAATTAAGATTTTTCAGTGACCGTTGTTATGTAACAACATGTGAGCAGGCATTTCATTGAAAAGTAATCATTTCTACCCAGGTGAGGTGTTAGGCATAATTGCAATAAATCAGAAATGTGTTGGTAAGGATGAGGTTTGGAAGTCATTAGCAAGTGAACATGTTCATGCAACCTGCCTTTTTATTCAGCATCTAGGTTTTTTGACTTTGGCCCCCTCAGGCATTCCACTCTTTCTCTTTTCTTGTTATTGTGCTTGACTTATGGAACACTCCTCAGAAGAATAAAGACAATTAAATACAAAAAAGTTTATCCAGGTGGACTCAGGCAAGCACGAGATTATTGGGTCCAAAGGTTAAAAAAAAAAGGCTTGAGAGAAAAATGTGATTGTAATAAAGAGTTCATTTACACCATGACTTCATGCCACATTCAATTGCAGTAGGTGTCCCATAAAATAAAGAATTTTAGGAAACCAGGCAATGCATGGAATGTAGTTCTAGTTTTTTTTATTATTAAATTTATTGTGTTAAGTACTTACATTTTGATTTTGTCATAATTATAGTAAAATGGTCTAAGATTCTTTTCCCAAGATTTGAATCACTCTTACTTGTACATGTTTGGTTAGACATGTTATGTATTAATACAGACGGGCTATTTTAACGCTTTCCTGTAGTAGTTATCCATGTTTTTGTTTCCAGGGCTTCTGATATTCTGCGATGTTAGGATTTCGCATAATTGACCTCAAATCGCAACTTTTCACATAATTCATCAAAAGTCGCATAATTCAGGCAAAATGGCAAAATTCGAGGAAAGAACAAGGAAATATTCGCTTCTTACTTAAGTTATACGACAATTTTAGCATTGTTTCAAGGTGATTTACCTCTCAAAAGACGTTAGAAATCAAAATTGTTGGCGAGCGTAGTTTTGCATGTCAGTGACCTGGTACTAGTTCTCAATAGAGGCGATTTCTTATTGGCAAAGAATAGACAATTGTTTGTGTTAATGGGGCCATTCACGTTTGTTGATATGGTCTGTCGAGGCCTGACATCTAAAATAGCATATGGACATACCTTAATTAACAGCCTATCTAGTGTGAAAAACTGAAATTTGTAACATTGTTTTTAATTAAGGAGGAATCAAGTGACACCTAATTGACTAAATGAGCCATTTCAGATTAAAATACAGTAATTAAAATGAGGCAACAATTGTTTTAATCTGGATGCTTTTATTGTTTTTTTTTTATGTTCTAATTGCCCATTGGATAGCAAAAAGATGGGTTTCCTCCTCTGAGACCTAAAAAAACAATGTTAAATCAGCTTTAAAAAAATCGCATAGTTTCCCTCGAAAATGCCGCAGAATTTCCCATTTGTGCCGCACCCTATCAGAAGCCCCCTATCAGAAGCCCTGAGTTTCTGATGAGGAACAGAGTTTGTTGAAGTTATCCTACCATTGCTTATCTATATTATTATGTCAATATGCAAACTCCATTGTCATTTCTGTTCGGAAGCGAAACGGGAAATACAAACAAACACTTTAATTCCAACACGGTAAACTTGTAGACACACATTAAACGACAACGACCATTAAACAAAACTGCTACTCGATACCACTAAAAACTTTTCAACTCCCTCTAAAAAATCGCACACGTCAAAATTAAAAGGTCCGCATGATTTGCTTACGATATTATTAGTCTATAGCTACGTAGTCCCAAAGCATGCGCACGCGAGTCGCACGTGCACAAGTTCATTCATGTCTTCTTAACAATTTCCTTGACCTTGGTTTTTTTTTTTTTTTGTTTTGTTTTGTTTTTTACATTTCAGGGGGTATTTATGGTGCGGCCTGGTCTGCGCTGAGAATCCCAGATCCTCATCCCACTCCACTTATCCTGCAGTCTTTCATTCTGATGAAGAACAATTCAATCCTTGTTGGTATGTGATTATTTTACAGAGTTCTTTTATTTAATAAACTTTGAAATTTAGTTGCTAATCAATTAATCTAAAGAGGGTCATATTTTTTAATTTAAAAAACGGCTAGTGAGGATCTTTTAGATTCAGTGGATTTTAGTTTTCATTTATAATTATAGTGAAGAGCCTCACAGCTGGACCTCTTATTTCAGGTGGTGCAGCAAGTTTGTTTGCATTAACAACATGCACAGCAGCATCAATGAGAGATAAAGATGACCATATTAATTGGGCCTTGGGAGGTGCTGCAAGTGGAGTACTGATTGGATTTAGCAGTGAGTTTCTCAAATTATCATCTAAATCTGCCATGTAATTGATGATATGACATGTAACTGATGACATGTTTATCATGACGACTTTGAGCAGTTATTTTGACTAAAAGCACAAGACAATTACAGTGCTACTGTACTACAGCTTTGGTTGTATGCTTTGAAATGAAACTTTTTTTGAGAAATATTTATATAATTATAACTTTATCAATCAGCACTCATTGAATGGCTTTGGAGGAATTACTTTGTAATTACTTTGTACAGTGCAACTGTACTACAGCTTTGCTTGTATGTTTTGAAATGAAGGCCCTTTTGAGGAATATTTTAAATTATGTCACTCTATATCAACCATCACCCAATGGGCCTTTTCAAGCTCAAAATTTTATCATCAGACAGAGGCAACATCTCTTATTGTTTCTTTTTATGTACAGAGAGCAGTTGGGGGTTGGGGTGTGGTCTGGCGACAGCATTTGCCGCTGCTGGTGCTTTAGCCAAGTACTCTGGTGTGTACAAACATCCCCTGCGCACTGACAGAGTCTATGTCTGAAGAAACCCCCAGTGGCTCATAAGATACATTTCCTTGAAGTGACTACAAGTTTTGAATGTTATTTGTGAATATAGCTTCTTACAATTGATCTTAAATAACATCTAGCTGTTGAGAACATAAACTTGCAGCTAAAATTGGGTTTCACATGCAGTCTACTGTGAGAACATGAGGAACAAAAGTTGTTAAGTGGCAAAGTTTCCGAGGAATAAAACACTATTTTGTCTATTTTATGCATATGCTTGTTATGCTTTCTAAACAATAATCATCTATGTTGAGGCGACATTCACTTCAGAACAAGCACTGCATAGTGGATTGTTTTCCCTAATCTCTGATTCAAGTGCTCTCGTTGAAACTGTAACGGGGATATTTTCAGTAGTAAGCGACAAAGTTACTCGTTTTTTCGCAACCATTTCACCTTGCAGTGCCAGCCAGCTTATTAACTACGTATGTACTAGTAATCTTGAATATTTTACTTTACAACACGAAGTCTCCAAGTGCTATCGAGAAAAGCGCCTAAAAGTCAACATTTTACTGTATTGAAAAGATAAAAGATTCACTGTAGACGATCACAATTTCTAAACCAAAATCCATAAAATTCAAAGCAGTATTTAAAGTTAATGAAAAGTACACAAACCGAACCACTCATCTGGAACAGTAACAGAGAAAAAAATTGGCCTATTAGGCGATAATTACTACACTTAATTACGTTTATAAAACGATCTCGTGCAATGAAATATTGCAGAATACGCACACCTGTCTCCTTCATATGCTGATAATGGTGTTTTAGGAAATAATCTCATTTCCAGTGTTCCGAGGAAAATTATCGTACTAAAGTTATGGAAACCCTCGATAATGTTGAACCAGAAACGTTTTTTTATTGCCGCAGGCGAAACTGGGCGTGGACTGGTACCTGCTAAACTTTTCCATTACAGGTGTTTGGCTTAATTGAACATAATTGGCATATGAGGTCACGCTTCGCAAAATTTGTCAGGAAATCGGTGATATTCTCCCCATGAAACTTGACGATATCTTGAAAAGGAATTTGTCAATGCCAACTGCTTTAGCGAGTTCTTGTGGTTGGAAGTTTCCCTCTTCATTCGTTTGAATCCTCAGTATTCGCAGATTTCATGAAAATGGCTTCTTTTGTATCAGTTATTGTTGGACTTATAATCATGGCGTGTGCTTTTGCTGGGTTGATTGTGGCTGCTGACGAATGTACAAGGTACCCGAGTGCTCGTTGATAAAAGTGTATTTTTCGCCGCGTGGTTCCACAAGTGCAACATTTGACAAAGACAACAGACAGACCGTAACTGATATACTGCTGTACTTAGGCCGAGGCATTAACCAAACTGTACAGGGTTGAGTTCCAACAACTTGCATCACAAACCTGAAGATGGACACGATTCTTTCAACAGGCTCCTTTACAAAAGATATGACTTATTCTATATTCCACGACTGCCTCTGATTGCTGGATGCGAACCATTCGCCTACCTTTACCAATTAGAATTAACACTATTGTATAAATTGAGACTTGTAATATAACAGAGTATTTACCACGGGGAACTTATTTGAAAATAACTGGGGCTCCCTAGTCATCCTTTAAGGTTACAAGAGAAGATTCTGTTGGGTAGAGGTCATTTATTGAAAAGTACATTATGGTACTAGCTTGTCTGATGTGCAAGATTTTAACTCTCGTATGTGAAAACAGTTCAACCCACTTCCATATAATTCTCTTCTAGATATGACCTCTGCAGATCATTTGCATATAAGATTTGACCGCAATGACACATGTTTGAAGCCATAATTCACACAAACTGCATTTTCTTTTGAAGCATTTCGATTTTTAGTCGATTTTAAAACAGTTGAGTAAAACTAAGAGAGAGGAAATAAAACAATGTTTTGATCTCCATGACTATATTTTGTTACGACAAGTAAATCTATCCAACATCCGTGACTTCGAGTTACTCGAACCAAGCTGAGGCAGTTAACAAGAATACCGAGTTCAGAAATAAGACGATAATATAATGCATCCGATCAGATAAACAATCCAGCCGCCATTGAAAATATTTAAACATCGACTGACCGACAACCTAAATCAGTGTAGGCTTGATTTTCGCCGTTTCTTTTTTTTTTAGTCCGGTCTTGAATCCTCATTTCTCAAACAGCAGTGTGCAATCGAGCCACATTGTAAAAGCTTCCTGGTTTATTGTTTGTTTTTCGTTGTTGTTGTGGTGGTTGTTTTTTTTTTGTCTTCAATCATCTCTTGGTCAAACTTCGAGGTAACTTGATCTCAAAAATGAAGACGGTGAAGACGAGATCGCTTGTCACTTGTATTTAATTTTTCTGTGTTTGGAGTCTTAAGGAGATAGCTAGAAAATATCACAGGTAAAATGCAAGATGTTCCTATTTTCTTTTAAGAAAGTAATCTTCAAAGTCTTTACAGCCAGTTTACGGAACAATCTTTGTGGTAATCGTGTGGTTCCAATTCCTCCTCTTACGATGGAATGAGCCCACTTAAAAAAAGTGTAGAATAAAAATAAACACAAAAAAGACTTCAATTCAAGAGGAGTGTTCGGGAGGACATGTCTGAATTATCTGTGATAATAAAAACCATTGAATGACATAATCATGTTGGAACCTGAACCTCATAGAAAATAAATATCTTTTGTCAAATCTTTTACGCTCCTTACATCTGTAATCACTTGCACTTCGTGTTACTCAAGTCATTTAATCATCTGTGTTTTTCTTTAGAGTTTGGATTTCATCTCTCCCATGAGCTTCTCAAGTTTCATTGCTATCATCATGTCTCCCTTAATTTTCAGTTTTCCTCCCATGAACGCCTGAGTTGGATTCATCTGACCCTTAAACATCTTAACAAAATCCTCCGAGTCTAAGGTCATTGTGCAGTTGGCTACACCTCCCGGATAGGAGCCTTTGCCAGCAGATCCTGTTGAGAAAATACAAACGTTACATTTACCTCATAACCAGGGTCTCTCTTTCAATCCCCCACCCCTTCGGCGAGACATCCTGGTAACAAGCTTAAAATTGCAGGTCACGAACCTCGCTACGAGATAAGCGCGATGACAAACCAAGGAACAGTAGAGAACAGTATTGATCTTTCCATGAGTAAATTAAGGTTACCAAGGAAAATAATAGGAGCTTAAAAGAGAAAAACGGGCAAAAAGGGTAAGAACTAGGGGTAGAGACATCAAATGAAATTCCCGAGAACAGATTCAATGGTTCTTCAAATCAAAAAAGGCGTCAAAGAGAACGTAAAATTCTGAAACCAGTTACGGAAGAACTTTACCACACCTCCACAAACTGTGACGAATGATGGTGCATATTATCGTGCATTATCAAATACCCCTATCACCTCTGTGATAGAATAATTATACCTGTTTATATAGGTTGATGATCTTGGCATTAAATTCAGTTCTTTGGTTTCTGCTTGATCCCATGTAGTTGTCCGTTGTCATAGCGCTCGTTACACAAACTAAGGGTGTTGAATATTTTCTCCGTGAACAAGAAAAGCGTTTTCTGTGGAGCAGCTAATTTAAACCAATTGTAGGAGAGGAACAATATTGCGTGACGTTTCGAGCCCTCCCATATGTGCATTCCTCCGAAAAGCACGTACATCATAAAAGATGTCACATAGAATAGTCATTATTATCCAACTACAGCTAGACGAGTACAAATAACGCCATAGACGAGTACAAATATCACGCGGTATTTGTACTCGTTTATTGCAGTACCAGTTAAACAGGTTTTCCCGCATCGCGCAAGCGAAGAATTGGATATCCCTTACGAGAAAAAAAAAAAAACAAATGGCGGACAATTTGAATCATATTTCCGACGACGAAGAGTCAGAATGGCTGGCAAATATAGATCCAAGTTCATTGGATGAATCGAACGAAGAAAAACAGCTTGACGACAGAAAAATTCTTCATTTAATGAAGAAAATAGAAACAGCAGCCCAACAACGCGCCAATTCCGTTCCACTTCGCATACTTCTGTCACGCACTCCCGTAAATAAACATCCGCGAAATTCGCCCGCACTGAAATAACAGTTTGGGGTATTGGATAATAAACAACTTATTAGACGTTTTGTTGTGTAGTATCGCTGAGTATTTTTACCCGTTATTTGTATTTTGACTCGCGATACGGGCTCGTCAAAATACGGCACAACTCGTAAAAATAATAAGCGATACTACACAACAAAACGTCTAATAAGATATATATACTTTGGTTATATCAGTATCACTTCAGTGTTGCTTACCTCCATCATTTAGGAGATCAATAAACCAAACTCCTTCGTCTTTTCCAGTTAAGTGAAACTCGAACACTCCCTTCACGTTATTAACAAGTTGTTTGTCACATAAGCTCTTTATGGTCTCGAAAATTCCTTCCACTCCCCCTGCACCTTTTTCCTGTGAAACGTTATTTGCGTTCTTCTGAGCCTCCATCATGTTTTTGGCATCCGAACCATCAACGTCCAAGAAGAAATCTGGTAACAGCTTGCTTCCTATAAATGTGATGCGAAAAGGATATTACTCACGTGAGTAAGACTACGACTTATTGCGTAATCGTCTATCTATACCAACCTCTACTTGCGTGACGATTACGAAACGACTTTTGGGTCAATTTTTTTCCTATCTTCCAATTTATGGCTCCCTAACTCTATCTCTACCTGCCCTTAAAATCAAATGAATGGGTTACTTTCCACTACTCTGTATTTGGGAGGCCAAGCATAAAAGCAATCAATGAAAAGTACTTCACGCAATTCAGGAAAACCCTTTTAAGTAAACATTCCGTCTTTCTTTAGTTTTAACTTCCCCATCAACCAACCTCAATCCAGTTACCCTGTCCTTCTTACTAAGCATACCTGGCACACAGGCATAAGGTTCAAAATCTGTGACTCCCACTTCTTTGAGAACATCTTCATCAATAAGAAACTCTCCAGTCCGGGCTCGACTGTCCCGTGACAGGATAACATAGGCGGCATCAGCCATAATCTGATCAGTGCGACAGGAAGCTAGAGCTTCTTTGCCCCCCAGCATCTCCATAGCAGCTGTAGCTATAGCTAATGAATAATAATAAGGGGTAAATACTCCTACAGTATGACAAAAATAAAATCTGAAATAAAAAATTCAATTTTTAGAAAGCTAGAAAATAATTCTTATGTTTTGGTAAACTGTGGTCACTGTAGGTCATGATTACTCTGGAAGCATCTCTTTAGAGGTATTTTAATGAATGATTAGTTTATGTAGTTTCTAGTTTCGTGTTTACCTGTTTTAGGCCACAGTGCATTAACTGCAATCCCATCATCCTTGAATTCTTGTGCCATACCCAGGACACACATGGACATGCCATATTTGGCCATTGTATAAGCTAAAAACCATAACAGATGGCAGCCAACAAATTTAAATGAAATATTTCCAAATTCCACTAGCACTCAAGGTATTAAATCTATTAAATCCAAACAAATAAAAATTATTTGTCCACTGGAAAAAAGCTCCTTTTGGTAGAGTTAAGCCCAACAGGCACATGTTAAAAGTTTGGTTACATAGCACATATCTTGCAGTAAGATAATGCACCTAATAAGTTGCCTGTTCTTTTTAGCTGTGGGGTTTTTTTTTGGTAAACCAACACCAACCATCAGATTACTAAAAATTGCATCATTCAAGAGATTTGTTTCCACCTGTATTACAAAGTGTCTGTTCTCATGACACTTGTCGTGAGTGTAAGATGGAAGTTTTTCTAGGTCTGAATTTACAATGAGTACCCACAAGGGGAGGATAATCACCAAGATTTCAAACCACAATTTGTTAACCCTGGTTCAAATTCCTTTTTGAATGAAGGTATTAGAAATAAGTCAGAACTGACCACAGTGATCATCATCTGGATGGTGTTCAAAGTTATAATAAAGCAAAGAAAGTCTCTTCAATTCAGCTTAATAGAAATTTGGTGTGTTGTGTAATAATTTAAGAAACATTCAAAGAAAAAAAAATAAATTGTGAACTAACCTACATGACCTTTGAACCAAAGAGGATTCATGTTCAAAGGGGGACTGATGTTTAAGATGTGTGAATTCTTTGCAATCTTTAGATATGGTAGACAGGCTTGAGAGCTATCGACACATTCCAAAATAAATAAACAAAACAACAATCTCATAACAACAAAGGTAAACGAACAGTGGGTAAATGTCCAAAAGAACGAAAATAAACTAGGAAATTACTGGCAATTATCACACAATTAATCCATTAAAATTACTAAAAATATTAAACAATTCTTTTTCCAGAACCTTTAAAATACTCAAAAGACTTGGTGAATACAATGCTTGAAGGGTTTTTTGAGATAACAACTGCCATTTAGTTTCTTTTGTTTTAAACTATCTTTCTGAACAAAGAAATACTCAATTTGAGCCAATATTAGAAACATTTAACCTATAAATTATAAAATGTACAACAATGGATTGAAATATGTTCAATAATGATGAAAGTTACAGTGTAATAAATGCTAACTGGAGAGACTCACCACAGATATGTTCCCCGTGCATTAATGCTGTTCATGAGGTCATATCTGTAGATGGGTGTAATAAACATAATAACATGGGAATTAATTCTTAGCAATCAAATGGTAAAGAATGGTTTTTACAAAAAACAGTTCTTTGTTACCAAAATAACCTACTGAGAGTATTAGTATTGTTTATTCCTAAGGGCTTGGAAACTGCAACAACACATGAAAGCTGTGTGATTTAAGGTGGCCATGAGCTGACAATAAAATCCGTGTATTTTCTAAGGTAGTGATATCTTAGATATTCCAGTGGTTTTTTTAAAAGAGAAAAATGGTCTCACTTTTTCATTGGTGTATCCAAAGTCCCTGTCAAGCTTATTGCACTAGCGTTGTTAATAAGAATATCAATCCCACCAAATGTCTTCACAGCCTCTTGTACTGCACTGTTGACGGCATTTTCATCACGAATATCCACTGCACAAGGAAGGCACTTTCCTCCTGCCTCTTCAACTATAATTGAATACATCAACACAATAGCTAATACACCAGTTGGCCTGCGTTGTTGACCAGTGGGGGCGGGGTTGGGGAGGAGTTGGGATTGTTCTCAACATTATTTAGATGTCGCTTGGTTTGAAGATCCAAACTTTAAGACAATTCTTTCTTTCGAAGCTTAAATGGAGACAAAAGATAACTAAGAAAGATTAAACCTGAGCCAAGATGTTCTAAAATTTACTACCGTGGGCGGCATGAAGTGTGACAGTGCCTGCTTCGTCGTTTCTTCTGTGTCACTAGCAATAGGCTTCGAGTCACGCGAATAACCATGTCCAAATGATCAAGACAAAATTTTTTCACTGTACCCTCCTTTGCTGCTGTGTATATCGTTCCGGGCAGTTTCGGATGAGGTTCGGTGGTTTTAGCGGCGATTACAATGTTTGCTCCATCTTGGGCCGCTTTCAGCGCAATAGCTTTTCCAATTCCACGGCTAGCACCGGTAATAAATAGAGTTTTACCGGCAAGTTTCCTGAAGTGAAAAAATTTTTAGGGATCCTTTGGTTATAAAAGAGAATCATTCTGCAGATTTTGCAAAAAAATTGAGAAAAAGGCCGAAAATAGACAAAACTTACCCTGTGTTCAACATTTTTCCGCTAAATCCGCTGCAAAGTCCAACACGATAAGGAGAGTCAACGATACTGCTGGTCAGCGCGTTTGTGAAAGTCCAGAGAGAGAGAGACTGGGAAAAATAATTCTCAAGGGATCTCTTGTGTCATCATCACGAAGGACGATGTGGAGGGCGCCGCAAAGTGAGTCATATCTAGTTGGGATAGACAAACATAAAAAAAAAAAAATAAAAAAATAAAAAAAAAGAGAGAAAACAAAGGAACTAACTTTTTGCTCTTCACACATGGGCAACTTTGAACTTTGTTTATGTTTTCTCCGTCTTTCCGGTAACAAACTTGGACTCGTGGGCTATGAGGAAATCTTCTAATATGGAAATAATAATAATAATAATCTTTATTGAGATGACTTTTCATATAAAATATGGTTTTCAAAAAGGAAACGAATATTTCTTACCTTAAATAATGTTGTCTGCCTCCACC